TTTTCGATTCCCCTCCACATCACCCCGAAGAAATCTGCATTGAATGTTTTCAAGTTTCTTTGCTATGCTAGCCGGAATGGTTTTATCTCCTCTTTCAATAGTCTCAATTTGCAAACCACCCTAAAACTAACTTTGCCACGAATCTCAATCTCTTTCTACTTTTTCTCTATCATGCTTCTGAAACTCTCAACTTCCAACCACTTATTATCAATTCTAAACGGAACTAGGCTCCAGTCAATTCTATCATAAACAATGCATATAGGAAAGTGATCATAAGTTGTTCTCTGCAGCACTTTCTGAGTCAATCCTATGAGTTGAACAATGAAATCTGCATACACAAAAAAATGTCAACTCTAGAAAAAGATGGGTTGCTTCTATCCTTGGACCATGTCCAACAACCACCGGATAATGGCAAATCCATCAGATTCAATCCTTTGATGTTATTTTTAAACTCCTCAACAACCGAAAATTGGTCCCCAGATCTTTCACTCCTCTTCAACACCATATTAAAGTCACCCTCCACCACCCAATTAACACCCCATTTCATAAGAGTAAACTCCTAATTCTAAGAAGAATAAAACCCTAAATTACTAAAACCATAAGAATACTCTTGAATAGTACAATAGTAGACTCCTAAAATAACATAATGATTTTCAATTTAATACAATTGCAATTGCTAATTTATTTAAGAAACCTAGTACTAACACATTCTGCATCAATAAGATTCATCAATCCTCTTGCCCACATACTCCATAAAAAAAATTGGCGTTACTACATAAAACAACTTTCAGCACTTAATCAATACCACTCATACTCATTATTTCATATTGTTTCAGATTGGTCCTACATGCTACCATATAAATTGAATCTTCCATCATTCAAGGTCAAGTTCCTCATATTATCTACTTCCGAGTATAGTTTGTGTTTTTGGCCTCCAACTATTTTTTGTGGCCATTGATTTCTTCATTCATAACAGCCTAGTGACCAGTTAGATCCTAAAGCTTTTAAAGCCTTTTTTTCCCTTGTCTACTCTCGTTCTTAAAAGTCCCATATGTTCTTTACATATGTTGATCTGGCTCCTATTGCTTCTTATGTAAATCCACTACAGATTGTTCTATCTTATGGGTGGTAACAAAGTGTCCTGGAAAGTACAAGCACTGTATTCACTAGCCAGAATATCAACACAGGATTAATAATGATTGATAAATTCGAACATGAAGTAGTAAAAGATAAACAAAGACTGATCAAACTAGTTAGAGGTTGCTCTGGAGGGGCTTAGCTATGCTTTCATGCAAAAGCATGTACTCATGGAAAAAGTAAGGAGGGACATATAAACCTGAGAGATAGCGTGTGCGACTCTATTAAAGATATGCAAACTTGAGAAACAACATCTGCAGCTTTATTGAAGATATTGCTGTTCAAACAGATTTTTTAGCAATAGATGGAGTTGATTCTCTTCCCAGTCATTCTAAACATCTTTCTAACGACTTTGATCAGCCTCCCTGGATTCCTCTTCTAGCCCCTAATGCACATCCTTATCTAGTTTTTACGCCTGAATCTTTGCATACAGGTGGTAGATGTGGAAGCAAAGGACTCAGTTATGGTCTTTTACCTGTTTCCATGATGGCCATTAGTGTTTTGTACCCTCCTGTTGCCATTATAAAAAAGTTCATGATGATAACTCCATAGCTGTTAAGCCAATACATTATAGGAATCTACAGACCTAAATGACTTGATCAAAAAACTTAATTGCATGCAAATGGGTCTGTCAAGGATAGATATAGGGGTTGTCATTTCTCCCAAAACCTAGAAAGGAAAAGAAAGTGAATCAGGAACTGCAAGGGCTTACCACATTAATTGGTTACAGAGATCTTAAAGGAAACAATAGCTAGAATACTTTGATGCTAAAAAATGAATATGTGTGGTTTTACAAGATGAGAAAGAGATGCAAAGGGCTGTGGGTTGTGTTATATGGAAGGGATTGTATCCAAGGACCACTCATAGAAAAGAGGGTGAATCTGGAACTGCAAGGGCTTACTACATTAATTAGTTACAGAGATCTTAAAAGAAACAATATCTAGAGTTGTTTGGTGCTAAAAAATGAATAGATGTGGTTTTGCAAGATGAGACTGACATGCAAAGGGCCGTAGGTTGTGTTACATGGAGGGGATTGGATCCTAGGACCACTCATAGAAAAGAGGGTGAAAGAGGCAAACAACTATGATTATGGTGAAATGGTAAATACAATAAGGATGTTCCCTTACATCTTCTCCAACATAATATGATGGAACAATAATACCATTCCTATCCAAGTGGTCCTTGCTAGATTTTATGTATTACTAAGACATTTAAATTCAGAATTTTTGTTTTTATCTTTACTTCTAATATTAACCTTAGGGATTCTATAAATATAAAAACAATATGAGATAAAAATCATAAGTCATTAAATCTTGATAAATGAGTGAATTCTACCTTTGTGTACAAATGTTTTGTAATTGAGCAACACCCCTTCAATTCTATTCCATAAAATTCCACTTTTCACTTTCACAAAAAAAAGAGGCCATTGCATATAGCTAAGTATATTTTAGAGGAAAGAACAAGAATAATATATTTGAAGAAAGAAGACTTTCTTTTGTCTGGGCCGGACATCCAGATGATAGCATACTATTTATTATGATCTTTTTTTTTCCTTTCTTTTTTTCACTCTCTACTTGTTATCACTTTCCAAGCCTTTGCCTGGGCTATCTACATCAATCACAAGTAGAATATGAGGGTAATTTGCAAAGACAGATTAAGAATTCTTTTCATTTTGCAGAATATTTTCAACAATGATTTTTGGACTCTTTAGATCCAAAAAGTTGGATAAACAGAATATAGGAATAACATGTACATACTCATCCCCAATCTGGCGCTTTTCAATTTGAGATATGTCATAATATCGTAGTGCTGCTTCTAGGAACTTCCTTTTTAAATCCAAAATCCTAGCATAACAAACCTGACAAGAAGAAAATAAGGATTAAATTCATAAGCAAGCAGGTTTCCAGGACCTAATACAGATGTCATCTGTCAGAAATTGCCATACCTTGTACTGTAAATTCAATACTTCATGATGACTGTTGCTGACTAAGAATGAAGCTTTATTTATAAAAGCTTCAGCGTTAGCAGCATCATCATCCTATAAATGCACAAATGAAGAAGTCAGTTATACAGACGATTATTAATCAAAACTTGAAAAGAAAAATAGAACATAATGTATGGGGATATCCACAGCATATTCCGCCAAGAGTCATCAGCATCAACATCCCAGAGGATGCAATCCACAGACAAAGACCCCACACGGCATTGCTAGGTAATCCCTTTTTCAGGTTGAAGATTAGAATCTAAATTAAATGCAAAAGAGTAGAGCCAATTTTTATTTTCAGAGATAACAGATTATACTCCCCAGTCCACTAACAATATTTTGATAAGAAAGTAAATACCTCAAGATACAGGCGAGCAATCTGCACACATTTTGACAACCTGAATGTATCATCTATTGCCCTGATGGACATTGCAAAAATTCCACATACAATCAAAATGAATTTATCAAAATCTTTTTTTGAAATATATTTTGAATTTATCAAAATATTGCAGTAAACCTGCTCCCACAAGCAAACTAAATATGAGACTACCAGACCTCATTCCGGAGTCTAAATCAATTCCACTAAGCATCTGAGCTGCTTTTGACCACTGCTGTTCCGACTCATACAAACCAGCAAGCTTTTCTCTAATTATTAGCACCTGAAACTCACAAATAATTTGCATCTCAAATTGAATACTAACATATCCTACCAAAAGATTACAACCGCTGACCAGCTGAAATGCACTGCATCATTATTATCTTAGACAAAAGGGAAGTTCTACATGAGTTCAATTACCTTTTCCATTAATTTCATTGAAAACATTGCTGGAAATTTATAAAAACCATCTGATTGCAAAAAGAATACAGGGTGTAATCTAGAAGAAATTGTGTTAAAATAATGGAAAGTTAACTAGGAGCCACACCTAGAATCCCTTCCTTAAGAATCATATCTAATGTGAGAACTTCTACGTTTCTGCAAATTAGAAAACCAACCACATCCCATAGTTTTTTCAAAAAAAATAGAAACTAACCACAGCCCCGAGCAACGACTCATCATCCAAAACGAACCTGTTCCTCGAAGGAAACAACGCGAGGCTGAATCTGAGAGAGGGTATAATGGGCAATCTCCTTTTGGGTTTCCGGCTCCAATCTCCCTAACTCTTGAGCAAAAGTCTGTAAAAGCTGCCGCGACACCACCAACGGGACATCGTCGGATAACACTGAAAGAAAATCACTTAATTAACATGAAGAAGACACCGATAAAAATCCAGTAAATAGAGCAAACCTAAGTGAACGGTTTCGAGAAGGAATACTGTGATCAATGAACTTCTTTGCTTGAACTATGTCGTTGGATGAAAGCACGGAGGAAAGTATGTGCTTGTACTGTTCGATCTTTTGCCTTTGGTCCGAGATCACCGAAGCGCTCGCGAATGCACTTTCCATTGCCGAGACCTTTTGGATTTTTGATTTTTGTCCCCAATCAGAACCCTAAACGCTGAGTTCAGAATTTCGCAGCAGCCCTCGCAGCCCGGCTGTTCCTCCCGTTGGGAGCCACGGTACCTTTTTATAAATCAAATTTCCTTTCCAAATCCAGGAGAGACACGTCATCAAAGAGCACCGGTGGCCTTCCATATCCAATCTAAATTGACTATCTTTTAATTTTTTAATAATTTGTAATATAAAACTTATAACTATATAATTAACATATCAATTAATTTTTAATTATATATTAAACACTAAATGTAAAAATTACGATTATATTTACATGTTAAATAATTTGAATTATGAAGGTTATCTTCTAAAAAAATTATAAATAAACTTCTAAAATAAAATATTTCAAATAGTCTCAAATTTTAAGAAATAAATTTGTGTAAATAATATGTTATGTACCATAAATAATTTAAATATATTTAAATAGTAAAAATAATATCAAAACAAAAGTTTAAACTAATGATTTATGAAAGAATTGTAAAAAAAAATAAAAATTCATTAAATATATTCTATTTCTAAAACAAATATATATAACAAAAAATTAAAATTAGTAATAAAATTATTTTTATACATATTAAAATAATAACATTAAATATTAAAAAATACTAAAAATATAAAAATTACAGATAAAAAATCACGAATACTAAAATAGACGAGAATAACTGAATGCACTTAAATTATTTAAATATATAGTGTTTATATTTATCTGTCATAATATAATATGTATATTCAAATAAATTTTTTTTTCTATAAATATATTTATTATTTAAAAAAAATTAAATGTTTATCCGGATATATAACTGCCTACTATTTTTTATAAATAAGTTAATTTATTTTTATTAATTATACTTTAAATACAAATTATTTTTGATAATTTTAAATAAAAAATATTAATTAATTTGAGCCACTCTAATTTATTCTTAACAATAATTTTAATACTTTATCAAAATTTTTAAGTTATTATCTTTATTAAATAAATATACTTAATCAGTTAAATTTAATAATATATGGTAATACAATATAAATTATGAAATATTTACGATATATATATATATATATTTAAAGAAATTACTTATTTCTTATTACCAATACTTGCCTGGTTTTCTTTTAATAAAATTTGTAATCACTTAAATAACCAACCTAATACTTCAAAGAGTAACCCAAAGTTGTGGTGGGAGGCTCTGTAACATTTCCCTTCTCCTATATAATCAGCGACGGCATTTCAAGTTCACTACTGAAAAACTTGATTATCTTTCCCCAGGCGATACTTCCGCTCTGTATCCAGGAAACCGAAACTCCAGAGAAGGAATCGAGTTCGTTGCCGTGATTAATCTCAGCGCTCTGGCATAACCGCATCGGAAATGAACAACGCCGGTTAGTTCTGCACTCATTTCCCTTAATCTCTTCATCCTGGAATCGGTTTTCTTTACTGGTGGCGTTGCTCAAGTTATACCGTGCTTCGATGAATTATTAGAATTCTTCATGTATAATATGCCGTTAGGTTCGTGAGAAATCAGAAGAAAGTGAAGAAAAAAAAAATTGTTGAAACAGGTGCTTCAACCTGAATTGCTTCGAGATTCCTCGGCAGACGAGCAGATTTCTTTTCATTTTCTTTTAGTTTTAAACTTCTCTTCTTTAGCTTAGGGTTTTACAATCTGCCATGATTTGCCAACACCGCCGTTTTTGTTATCCTTTAGTTTTTCGTGTTATTATTTGTGCTACTAATATTTAGGGGTGATGCAACTTTCTTGGTTTTGAGGATTGCATTAGACGGTCGAATTCAGGAATTTTTCGCATTTTGCAGAAGATGTATAATAAATAAAGTATGATTATCTCGTTAGTCAGATTCCACTGGTAAACAACTTCAAGTTTTGGGTAATTATATATCCTAGTACCAAATGTAAATTTAGGTAGAGATGACTCTGATGACTTAAGCTTTAGTTTGCGAAGTCTTGGGAATGTATGCTTGGATGCCAGAGAAACTTTTTATGGATCATGATTTTAGTGGATCACTTGCAACATTCTCTTTGATTCTGATGTTGGATTTTGGCGTAGAAAGGAGGTTCTCAGGTAGTTTTGTGAAGGTTTTTCAGTGAATTTTCAAGTTTAGTATGTGTTATTATTCTGCTATGACATGTACTTCTTTTTACCTAATTCTTCGAAGAATTGAATTGAGAAATAAAAGGAAACTTGTCTACAGGCTTTGTTTCTATGCATTTTGTTAATCTTTTTCTCACTTTGTTTTAGGGAGTAGGACCATTGTCTGGTACTTGCTTAGGTAGTCTCTGTAAAGACTTGATGCATTTTGCTGCACATATTTATCTTATGTTAAAACAATTGGCAGAAGATCCTCAAGAGATGGTTGTGCCACCGGTTGAAGGCGTCGCTGGTGGAGGGACAGCTTACGGATGGAATGACGGTGGCATGCACTTAAATGCACTTAAGGGCTTAGTGGATCCCACAGAGGTTCCAACAGCAGATCTTGTTTATGTTTGGTGCATGGCAAACACAGCGAACATTGGACCGCAAGAAATGCCTCGAAATTTGGAGCCTGTAAGCATTGTTGTGCTTGCTGTTGCACTCTGCTTGTGTTTAAATGTTTTCTTTTTATGTAATCGTAATCCAATAGATATTTTAGAATGAAACACCCTTTTGTAGGTTTCTCTTTATGCTGTCTCCTGGTGTGCATTTATTGAACTAGTAATTTTTCATTTAACTCTGAAAAATAACTTGTCCTTGGGCGTGTAACACTCAATTTATGGAGTCAGATGCTAGCTATGTTTTTTGAATTGGCATCTTTGGTCATTAAACCAACTCCATCAAAATGAGTCTGGGTTAATAAACTGAGTTGATAGGTGAAGAACTCGTTGAAACTTTTTTCACTGGGTGGTGGATTGCTTTCCTTTCTTCATTATGTCTATTTCAACTACTCTTTGTTATTGCTTTATAATGCATTTATGGCTCCGTTTCTTTTTTTTTTTTTAGATAAAAAAAAATATAGAATTATAAACAAACGTACCAAGGGGTTACCGCCCATGTACTAAAAACTTTACAAGTCAATTAAGAGATCAATGACATTCCTAAAATCTTCCCTCCTATAAATGTCATGACCCAAGATAAAGAACCAAAAGTATTAAGTTACCTATCTCTAATGTTTACATACTCCGTTGCAACCCCATCAAAAGCCCTAGCGTTTCTCTCTTTCCATATGATCCAAAAAATAGATAAAGGGACAAGCTTAAGGTAATTTTTCTTTTTACATATTTCTGCCCACGCCCAAAATTCATCCTTCAGTGAACCTGCCATAACTCAATTAATCCCAAAAGACTATAAACCAAACACCATAAGTTGTACACAAACGGACACCAGGGAAGAACGTGACTACAGGATTCTGCAGTCAGCTTGCATAAATAACAGCGTTTTACCAATATTTCCCCCACTTTTCATGAGCTTGTCGATAGTCAATATGCAATCTCTAACAGCTTCCCAGGCAAAGAAGGCGATTCTTGGAGGGACCCTAGTCTTCCAAATCTGATTAGCCAGAAAATGAGTAATAGCATTATTATAGGCTATGTAGAATCAGAATGTGTTGTTGCCTTGATTTGCATTGGCCAATGTGTGTAAAATTTTTTAGGTCATCATTGATCTTTAAATACAAGAATTCACACTGGTTTTGATGCAAATCAATATCTTTCTCTTGGGGATAAATCTATTTATTATTTATCTTTTCTGGATGGAGGATTACATGGTATGATAAAGACCTTATGGTAGGTTACCGTTATGGAGGAATTCAAAATTATTTTCTCCCCTTTTCATAACTCAAGACACTTGATCGTTCTGATTGAAATGGACCACAGAAATTTATATGCGAAATGAATGTAACTGCCATTTATCATTTTAGTCCCATAATTACGGTTATATTACAAACTAGTCCCAAAATTAATACATCTGTTCAACATAGGAAAGAAATTCTCCTTTTTTTTGTTTTGAATTCGGTCCCCAAAAATATTAAAAATCGGCTATTTGTATTTTTCTTAGAATAATTTTAGGACCTGATTATAACAAAAGAAAAGATTTAGAATTTAATTATAATATGAACTATATTTTTGTATCCAAAATGGTAGTTGCCGCTAAATGTTGAAAACAATGCCTTATTCCTTGAATGCTTATTTCTGACTGTTGTCTTGTTTCTTTATCTTGATGTTTTATTGGCCTATGGCACATATGTTTTAATTACAAAATTAAAGAAAATGGAGAGTGTTCATCATCTTCGGGCTTTTAATGTTTCTTTATGTCTTGAAGATAAATCTTTTGGCAGCTAGGAATGAGAGAGAGAGTGTTCAAATTGCCATTCGCCCAAAAGTTTCTTGGTGTGGTTCTGGCATTGCTGGGAATGTGCAGGTTCAATGTAGTGACATGTACTCTACATCTGGAGATCGGTTAGTTTCATAAAAAACATGTTCCCTTTACGGTTTACTTGAAAGCTTATTCTTCTAGTTCATAACTTTTCAAATATTTGCCTTGTCAGATTGATGGTTGGGCAATCATTAAAATTGCGGCGAGTGGTGCCCATTTTAGGTGTTCCTGATGCTCTTGTGCCGCTTAATCATCCAGTTAGTCAACTGAGCCTTCTTCCAGGGTACTGCCCAGTCAATTATGATCTTATTTTACTATGTTGCGGGAAGTTCTCTATAACTTCTTCTTAAGATTTATTTGGTTTGAATTTTTTGCCTGTTGCAGAGAAACAAGTGCAGTTTGGATTTCAATAGATGTTCCAAGCGCACAGCCTCCTGGTCAGTATGAAGGGGAGTTCATTGTTACTGCGATGAAGGCAGTTGGAGAGTAAGTTTTTATTGATTTTCCATCGTCCGTGATGTATTCCTGGTTGTGTAGTTCATATTATTATGCTTACAACATTTAGAAGTTCAATTTTTTTAATACGAAAAGACAATATTATTAAGAAGGAGAAAATTTACAAAAACAAGGAAACTATATTCTCCTAAAGAAGAGCAGAACAATAATAAGGAAAAAGAACAGGATAAGAAAAGGTTGCTGATCTTAATGTAAGATAGTTTTCCTATCCCTTTTGCAATAGATAATGGAAATCCCCAAAAACAAGTATAAATAATACAATCATTCAAAATTTTAGCACTACGTTGTAGCCATAATACTCAATATCTAGCTAAGGGGGAACCTCTCCATTACAATCTATGCTCTTTATTCTCCATGTATCTCAATATTAGGTGACACCTAATTCTCCAAAAGAACGCAAACAACTTATTTTGAAAGCATAGAAGGTATCTTGCACTGTGAAGATAAGTGGCTATTAGTTCCAAGGCCCTGTAGCACATATAAGAAATATCTAGAGAAATAACTCTATTTGAATCTCACCTTTGGAGCAAGTTATTGTGCTATTAATCCTATAAGCACCCTAGCCGGGATAAAGACCATGAGGTTTTAGAAAGGTTTCACCTTCTAGAAAGAATAGGTAAATATGTAGAAGCATTAGTGTTCCAACTCAAGATTTAAAAGAATTTGGAGATTCAAGTTGTTGCTTGCTTTTCTGGTTTCCTCTTTGGGTACAGGTCTTTTCTTGTTTTAGAACTTTATATGGATGTGGTCTTCTCTGTTATAAGTCATCTGGGTTCATCACAGATCTTCTGCCCAATGCTATGGAAAAGCGGAGAAGCATCAGATGTATGTGGAACTTAAGAACTGTCTTGAAATGTTGGAGCCCATCGAGGGAAAACCTGTGGATGAAGTGGTGAATTTCTATGTCTTTTTCCACCAATCTTAATTTTATTTGGTTGACCTCGGGTTCTTACAACTGTTCATATGAGCAATTGCCTTCTAGGTAGAGAGAGTGAAATCTGCAACTGCGACTTTAAGAGGAGTTCTACAAACTCCATCATTATCTGAATTCTTTTCAGATAATGGGCCTATTGACATGATGGATGAAGATATTGTGTCAAACCTTTCAGTTCGCGTGAAGTTAAGGTTAACAGTTTGGGATTTCATTCTTCCTGCAACTCCATCTCTCCCTGCTGTATTTGGTGTATCCTATATCTTGTAATTTACTCATTGTTGTAATAGTTGAGGTTGATGATTCATTAGATTGGTTAGTTGTTTTTTTCTTTCAGAAGAAATGCGAGTATGGCATCAACAGAATGGTTAATTGTTGGTTTTCTTTTATATGAATTATCATAATTGGTAATATGATGTCACCTTTTAGCAGTCTTGCATTAGAAGCCCAATTGGTTAGCGGAAATAAGTGGTAAGCACAAACGAAAGGCTGAGAATGTCTTAACATGAGGTAGAATATGCCTTTTGATGTATTTACCTACTAAAAGATAGAAAAAATGAATACCAGCATTGTTAACCCTGTTCTGTTGACAGACTACCCCTAAAACATGCCATTCGTACTTGAGACAGTGCATAATTATAAAGTTTTGGATATCTTATATGTCCCAAGTCATACTCTTCCTTAGCTATTATATGTTTGGTATGTTATTGTGTAATCAGATTATTTCAATTTTTTGCTTCTTTAACATATAGTAGATATCGGATACTGTAATTGAAGACCGTTTTGGTGTTGAACATGGAAGTGATGAATGGTATAAGGCATTGGATTTACATTTCAAGTGGCTTCTTCAATATAGAATCAGCCCATACTTTTGTAGATGGGGTGATAGCATGCGTGTTTTGACATACACCTGCCCGTGGCCTGGTAACTTATAGAAGAGACCTGATAACTCTTCATATATTGTTGTGGATCTACTTCTTTTGCAACCTTCACAGATTGCTACTGGTTGCCCATGCCCTTTTCATTTCTTCTTTTTGCAGCTGATCATCCAAAATCAGATGAATATTTTTCAGACCCACGACTAGCAGCATATGCTGTTCCATTTACTCGAGCATTCTCCGGGTATACAGTCGATTGCCCATGCTGGCTTCTGTCACGTATATTAACTATCAAAACTGATGAATTTCCATTGGTGTGTTTATGTGCAACAGTAATGATGGAGCAAAGGATTACTTGCAGAAAGAAATTGAGATCTTAAGAACAAAAACACACTGGAAGAAAGCATACTTTTATGTATGGGATGAGGTATAAAAACTGTCTCAGTTGGAGTTAAAACAAGTTTTTGGGTGCTACCTGGAATTAGGGCTATATATGATATCCATGCGTCTTCGTTCTTCTTATGCTCATAGTGTAAAGTTGTTCATTACTTTTTCATTTTTATGTGACCTATAAGATAGTCTAATTCCATTCTCTTTCGTTTTGACAGCCGCTGAATATGGAACACTATGATTATGTTCGCAACATGGCAACTGAGATCCATACTTATGCTCCTGATGCCCGTGTTTTAACAACTTATTATTGTGGTATGCATTCTTTACTTTCTTAATTTAAAGTTTATACATAATGGAGTAGTTATAAATTGACTAAATAGATCACAAATCATAATTTTATGAAATTATGGTACTATTTAGAAGTCTATTATTATAGTTTAGTAACTCGTTCATTCTTATCAGTATTCATTATTCCTATTTGTATTAGTAGTAATATTTTCTAACAGGTATCAGTAGTTCTTGTTTATTGAAATTAGTATTATCGTCTTATTAGTTTTAGTATTTCCTAATCTAATCTTTCCTATTCTAATCCTATTCGAAAAAGTTTATTTGATACTCTTTACTTGCCGTTCTAATATTTAAGTGTAATGATTGAGATTTTGTAGATGTGATGTTTAAAACCCTTAGGTGCAACATCTAGTTTTTTATCTCCAAATTGTTAAATAGGAATTTGCCTTTTGTCCTATATCAAAAGTGTGTGAAGTACAGTATTGCTCTATTAAGTCTTTATTTTGATTATATTTCCTTGTGCTTTCACTTATAGATTGAGAATTTTCCACATTCAATGTTGGTTTCTGGTCCACTAGTTTTTATTTTGTTTCTGTTTTACCTGCTGCTATCACTTATGAATGGAGGTGATTTCCCACTGTTGTGAATATCTAGTGGTCGGTGGTTAATAACTTGTCTCTCTAAGGAATCATAAGATGATGTGGCCATGGGATATCCTGATTCACGCACCAATTTTTGTATTGGATGTCCCCGAAGGGACATAATTCACATACCGTTGCTCACATGAATTTGACCTTTCTAAATATCGTAGTTTATGTTCTTCTAATTGTATTGTTTACTAAACTTGTTCAGAATATTTGTACTAATGGTCTATGATTTTTCATATTTGTGAGATTTGAAGCTCTCCAATCTCCTTTTTTTTGTTTTGCCAAGTTATTCAATTGTATGAATTTTATATGTTAAATTGAACCTATAAAGTAATTAAAATCAATAATTTTCTGGTGTTGACATGACATTCTTCTAAATCTTTGATTTATTCTAGCATTCCTTGTTTCTGAATAATTAATTGAACATAATTCCTTCTCTATGTGCTACTAATACCCACCATTATTTATATCTTTGGGGATTATAATCATTTATAAGATTACAAGTATTTTCATGCATTCTATCTACTCTTTTATGTAGGGCCCAGTGATGCGCCTCTTGCCCCAACTCATTTTGAAGCTTTTGTCAAAGTTCCAAAATTTTTGCGTCCTCATACTCAAATTTATTGTACAAGGTACTTACTTCTCAAATGGTTTTCAAATGTAGCATACATCTAAAAAACTAGCCACTTTTGTCAGAGCATTGGTGTAGGATTAGTGAATGATCAGCGTAAACATATCTTGGACAGATAGCATGCTTTCTGTTTTAAAGCACCATTTCTCATGGTTTTTGAGCCTTGCTTGCTAGCCTCAGAGTTCATGACTTCCTTTTGTTTGGGTGGATATGATTGATATGGCTTATGCACTCTGTTCAATGGTGTCTGAGTTGCATAGACCATCTTGCCAGTTGAAGAAGTAGGTACAGAATAGCTTAGTGGAAATTTATATTTTTCCTTGAGACTTTATTTAAGCAATTGGTGTGATTGAGCATCTGGCTTATATCAAAATCAAAATTTCCTGTCTTAGAAAAGTATTATGGCCCATCCATGGCTATCTATATTCAAAAAGCTTTAAGGTGTCATGAGTATCATTGTCTCAAAGGGCCTCTGGATTTGGCTTATCTTCTGACTGGCTTTTTCATGGTACATAAACTTGGCTGATGTGGGCCTTTGCCGGCATGATTATCACAATACCCAGATATTGTTTTTCAAACATTTTATGGTATCTTTTAACTACTTGTTGAAGGAAGTGTTATATTTCCTTTTTCAGTATGCAAATTGCTGAACTAAATTTACATTTGGCGATTCTGGATATATATATTGGTAGTGAATACCGGTCTGCCTGGACCTGCCTTGTTTGGTACTGCAAAAATTAGCCCTTTGGTTATCATCTTCTACTTATGTAGTCATGTAATAACTCTTAGTTCTATGTTGTTTAGCAGATGAAATGATGTGATTGGTCTTTGTTTGCAGTGAGTGGGTTCTTGGTAACCGAGAAGATCTGGCAAAGGATATTATTGCTGAATTGGAGCCCGAGAAAGGTGAGGTAAGTATATATTCCATGCTTTTGCTCTGTCAAGAAGTCTTATTGAAACTCTGCTTCTCGATTCCATCATGATTGGTGATGATTAATCATCACTTGTTTTCTAAATGAGTCAGTGAATTTAGGAGTCTCAATTTTATTGTTGTGCTTTTCTAGGTCAACATGCTATGTTATGCCAAATTAACTTCCTTTTCTGTTACTACTATTTTTGGCCCTCTTTTGGCAGTTCATCTTTCCCCTCCAGAAAAGAGGGAAGATGAATATTTGAACTAAAGTCAGGTGTTAAGATAGTTTTCTATCTTGAAGTTCTATGAACTTAAAGTTTGTTGGAACTCAAAGCCTTATGAGCTTGAAAAACACAAGGAATTAAGTGAATCTAAACGCCTCTTAATCCATCTGGTAGAAACCAAATAATTTCTTACTTGAAGGTTTATCAATGGAGGAATAAAATGGGTAATCCTGTTAATTATTTATTTAAGTGTGTAAGTTTTAATGTTTATTATGTAATATCTATGTAAGTGTGTTTAAATAAGTGCTAAGTGTGTATTAGGGTAGGAATAAGTCTGTTATAAGACAGGCAGTTTAAGAAATTTTAGAAAATTCGAAGTTACAGAATTCTGCTACTCTGTGTATCATCTGCTGTAGGAAGAAGACAGAATATGTCTGAAATTTTATTGTGAATTAAGAGTATGTTTTTACCCCAGAAATCGTAGAGTTCTCTTTATCCAACGAGCCTTAATATTTTGTTTCTGAATTTTTAAAGATAGAGAAAGATAGGAAATCAAAGAAAGATGAAATTCTACCTACCAATTCCATTGTAAATTGTCCTATAACACAATCCTTCAGTAAGGACCATAAGAACATCTTTGCTACCAAGGCTGGGGTTTGGTATAGTTTTCTTACAGTCTGGTTCTTGCATGTAGCTTTCCTCAATAATATAAAAGTAACTCCGATAATCAACCAACATTTCTGAAAAACAACCAGCAATTGACACATACTCTTATTTTTAGTTACAGACAACTGTTAAAGCCTCATTATTCTACAAGCACTTTCTGATAGCTGACCAAAAAGTTTTTGCTGAAAAGAATTCTTACTTCTGCAGGAATGGTGGACATACGTCTGTATGGGACCGTCTGATCCTCATCCAAATTGGCACCTTGGGATGCGAGGGACGCAACACCGTGCAGTGATGTGGCGTGTATGGAAAGAAGGTGGAACAGGTTTCTTGTACTGGGGTGCCAACTGCTATGAGAAGGCAACAGTTCCCAGCGCAGAGGTATTTACCCGACCGTTATGATCAATTAAATCTTGGAATTCAAACCTTGTGCTATGTTTGAAATAAATCCAAAAACTTGAAAATTCATTTCTAAGTCTGCGCATAGTTCAACTAGGGGAGAATATGAATTGCATTTAGATGACGAAAAAATTAACTTAATTTATAATGCATTCTTTCAATTTAAAGAGAATAATATGAGGTCAATTTATTTAATTTTTAAGAAGAATTTTTACTATCTTTCTAGTTGAATTGTGTCAAATTCTAGGTTCGTTGCAAAAATATAGTTATGTTTTTCCCTCTTCTTCTTTCTGGCTAAAATATAAAGTATGTATACGCGCAGATCAGATTCAGGCGTGGGCTTCCCCCAGGTGACGGGGTTCTGTTTTATCCTGGGGAGGTGTTCTCATCTTCACACGAACCTGTTGCTTCAGTTAGACTGGAGCGCATTCTTAGTGGCTTGCAGGTGAGGCAGCCTGAAGCTATGTTTTAACTTTTGTTTCCTTTTTCATTTTCATAACTTATTTGGAACATGGTGTTCTTGCAGCCATTATAACTAAGGTCAAACAATTTAAAAGTTTAAACTAAAGGTTATCTAACTTACCTCTTCATACAAAAAATTAGCTTTTTCTCATAAGAATTGTCAATAAACGCCTTGGAAATAATCTCCCAAAATTTGCAGAATTTCTCCATGATTTGAGAATTTTCAGAATCACATTTGATCCCATTTTCATCTTAAACTAAAGTTTAGTATTGGTGACTCCGCACTCAGATGATATATATTCCAGTTCGTATCTCAGATTGATGTTACGTGTGATTTGACTGATACTTATTCAGGTTTCTTCTCTATGTCATGTTCTGATAATAGTTTCTCCTTGAATTTACCAGGACATTGAATACCTGAAACTCTATAGTTCAAGATACGGTAAGGATGAAGGACTTGCCCTTTTGGAGAAGACTGGTCTATATTTATGTCCTGAGCGTTACACGCATGAGCACATGCCGATTGACCTAATGCGGGGTGAGATCTTCAATGCATGCCGGCCATGAGAGGCTATCAGCATTATGCCGGCTTCACTTTTGTATG